GAATTTTTCCTTGGCACTGCGCTGAAATTGTGTGAAACTATATTTAAAAAAACTGTATGTAATATGTATAACAGGTGCATAACAAAAAAAAAAATGATGCTTAGTTAATTAAAGTCATGTTATCTAATTTTTGTGTAAAATAAAATATAAGATAGCTTAGGCAAGTGTTGGGTAAAAATTGAGCTCTAAATCATGCAATTTCTACAACATTCATTTCACAATAGGTAATGTTGTATTGTTGTATATTTATATAGCCAAAGCATAAGCAAAATAAACTTTCAAAGTAAAATTGTACTTAACCGTAAACCATACAAATTGATTTTGTAAAAATTTATATTTTTTAAATCCTCATTAACATCTATAACGCTGGGATGACTGTGAGTTGAAGTATTTTATTAAAATATTTGACTTTTTAGTTTTTAAATAAATATAATAAAAAAAAAAAAAATGTTTTTGATATTCCTATCCTGTAAAAAATTATATTTTAGACATTATTTATGTGTATCATAAAATATTCTAAATATTAATTTAAAATGATTGTAGTACAAACATATTAAAATTTAAAATAAATTATAACTCATGGAATATAGCAATAAATTCCTTACCTTAACATTTTTTGAATTAGCTTCAACAACATCAAATATGTCACTATCTTTATTTAAAATAAAATCAGGTACACAATTTGACTAAAAAATATGTTTTAAACAATTGTAAATAACTGACAGTAATGTATTATTTATTAAGTTACTACCATATTATTAATAATTATTTAAATATTTTGCTTACTATATCATCTAGATTGTTTAAACATTTATTTATTTCTGAAATTCCAGGGTCTCCATTGTGGGATGTAAAGTCAATCAAATCTGATAATACATTTGACTGGAAAAATTGTAAAGAAACTTAGGTAGGTACCCATCAAAGGTTTTAAGATAACTCAACAAATGTACATAAAATAATAATAATAAAAAAAAATATATAATTATTATATAATATACATTTGGCATTTAATATAAGTGGATTGTGGTAAAAGCTAAAAGTTTACTTACTGAGTCGTTAGGTGTTTCAAAAGTCAATTCTGAACTCGTTGAATCACCATCTGCACTTTTAATTTTTTTTTGAAAAAAAGATAAAATTGAAACACTACCACTACGTTTAGCCATAATGAATTTAATAACTAATAATTATTTATAATAACTAATAACTAATTCGTTCGAGAGAAGTAGTGTCAATATTAGATAATATAAGTTATTAATCACGGTATTAACTATTAAGTAATGAATAATGATAACAGTAGTCATATATAATATTATATTGTATATAAATAATATAATATAAGCATTATAAACCGTTTACAATTTGACCCACGATTTAAGATCTATCTTAAACCGTGATTTGACCACAGACGATTTTATATGATAGTGTCTTATCAATTATCAGTTATCAATTATTTTATCACAACAAATATTTCCGATGAGAAATTTTAAATAGGAATTTCCAAACTACACATTATTTTGATGAAATCTCTAATTCAAAATCCAGAATGTTTGAAGACTAAAAAAAAAAAGCCCATGGGGGGGGATATATCCCCCATCATCCCCCCCCTGCGCACGCCACTGGTATACATAATATATTAATATACGCGTTATTATAATATGTACAGATCGTTGAAATTTCACTGCTGATGGCGAGACCCCGTACACCGCGGGATAATGTGGAGCGCACATACACATTATGTATGGACGTACATAGTTTTACATATTATAATAATGTTATGCCTCATAATAATAATTATAAAACGCATGCCATTAAAAAGGAATCGCGCATTACGACCGACGATTATTATTATAATAGCGAACGATCGATCGACTGATCGATATTATCTCACTGCAGCAGCAGCCGCGAAACCGGTAGCTGCATTTTATCGGATAAGAGCAGATTTATTCATGATGTCAGGTGTGTTTGCTTTTGTGTGTGTGTGTGTGTGTGTGTGTAGCCACCAGATCGCAGGTAAATTGCGCTATCTCGGTGTCGAATCGTCCGAACAACTGCTCTGTGGCTAACCGTATAATATTATTATATAAATTAGACAGCTCGGCGACGGACGGACGATGTATACCTATATTACGTATACCTACCTATATTTTATATGCGTATTGGATTTCAGTGGCGTCATTTGTCATATACACACATTACACACGTTTGCGCCGCCGTCGCGGTGTCTACAGGTGTGTATATAATGGGTTTGATAATATTATTCACAATCCTCTCCGGTCTGTGAGTTTTTATAATTTTTAGCGTTCTCCGGTTTTGCTACACGCTTGGTATAACGGATGTGCAAATTCCAGGATTTGCTACGGATGTACACGTAAATGGTCCTGGTTTACGTAGTTTAAGTACTATTATATAGTATATACCTACAATAGTGAACGGCATATTTTGACACGAGAACCCGAACTTTTACATGAGCTTTTTCTTGTTTTTATCTTTGTTTTAATATTTCTAATAATCTAGAAAGTTATGGTGATTGTTATAAAAGTATAAATATTTAAAAAAAAAAAATCATAGGCAATTAAAAAAGATCCCTACTAAAACAGAACATTTCTTGTATGTGGTATCTTAGCCACGCAACAATGAAATTTTACTTCAAACTTCAATTGAACTCAGACCATCCAGTCGGCGTAGCAGTGTAGTTAAAGCCATTTTGACCAACAGTGTAAAAAAATAGAATTTTTTATTTTATTTTTTTTTTAAATATCAAACTATATTTAAACGATTTAGTATAATAATAATGTACGAAGTAGGGAATTAATGTTTATATTACTACATTACAATGTATAACATAATATTAGATAAGAAAAAAAAATTTTAATCAACTAGCACCTACGTTTATATACCCAAGTGCAGTTTCTATATAGGTGCTAAATACAGTTCGACATCATCCCTTGGAAGACAATACTGTAGCCACTCTATTGAGGCGTTTGAAACCCATTTTATCATATCATCAAATTTTACTCAGGAGTAACCCCACTCCAAATATGACACTTAACCTGTCAGTCAAAAATATTAATTTGCAAACAATTTGAAGATTTTTGAAGATATTGTTTTGCACAGCTGCGGTGCACTCCTGTTTCGCGTCTTAATCGATTATTAGAGTTGAATAATAATAAATAATAACACGAATATAATGTAGTAATCGTCTTAATAACATCAGCACTGTCGTCAGGTTCAGAGATAAATTATTGTACTATACAATCGCGAATAATAATATTCCATTAGTCCTGCGACCGTTCGCCCACGCACCTACATACATATAATAACCTCATCGTACAAGCGTGGGACCCCGTCCATAGTCCACCGGCTGTGGCAGTTTGTTAGCGACGTCCGCCGCCCCGCACCTTGCCCACCCGACACGCCTCGAGAAACATATTATAGCGCTTAGAAAAAAAACGAGGTATCAAATATTATTATTATTATTATTTGTAATGTACAATATGTGACCGTTTTCGGATTTCCACATCGCCGCCACCGCCACTGTAAATCTCTTCCGAGTAAAAAATATTGTAATCGCACAACAGATCGTAGGTATATCTATTTTCCGGTGAATATGTTTGACGATGACAATGTTTTATACAATCAGCAGGAGTGAGAGAGAGAGGTTACTTTACACGCATTTTAGAAATATTGTATCAAAATATTATAAGAACTCCTATAATATGGGCAAACCTATATGGTATATATTCTGTACATTCTTACATTGCACTTAGTTCTGTAACCTTAAAAATCGTGTGTTATTTTTTATATAATGAAAACTCAACAAGTGTTTTTAACATAGCACAGTCACAGTATATCACGACGAGTAAGCGTATCATCGTTTCTACTGGCAAGAACACATCAAGTAAAAAAAAGTTTTCGAAGACGGTCCCAGAAAAAAAATACGACGAACATCTCATATGGGTAGTTGGTGTTTTCCGTATGAAAATGAGTAGGTACGTACCATAATATATAGGTAATTATTATTTATTATATTATATTGAGTACACCGAAAGTACATTTAAAATATGTCATAATGTATTCCAGATAGGTAGGTAAACCCTATTATATGCATCTTGATAACCAATAGGTATATTACGATTAAAAACATTGGTAGATAAATTCTTGTCAGCGCTTATATATTGTATAAAGCAATGGACTACCATTATTTGTGTTCGGGTTCAGTGTTCATACTTGGTGTACCTACACTCTGTAGGAACTTATTCAAAAAAACATATATATGCATTCCATTGAACAAAATAAAAGAAATTGTCAACTATGTCGGAAAGAGTACAATATTGTGTACGTCGTTAAGTATGTTAACTGAGGGGGAAGTACATTGTGAAAGCAGTACCACACCAGCTAGTATAGTGGTGCAGGCTCGATTAGAAAAAAACATGTTGGCCAAACCTGCAAGATCTTACAATGTAACGATAAATATAATCTAGATTCTAGATACATAATATTATGTCTTTTTTTATTTGGATTTATCAACTCTGTGTGCTACAGGCAGCATGCCTGTTGTTTTCTTAAACGAGTGGTTCAATAATAATAATGTAATTTTATTAGGTACTTACTAAAGGTACTTTCTCAAGCATGCCTAAAGGTCTAGAGAACCAACATAAGTGGAGTACTTAATCGTTATTTACTTACCTATCACTTATACCTTTTAAAAGACTAGTGTCGTTTCCACGCTCGTGCGCCTACGCTACATTTACATTTTTTTTTAATTATTTGTCTCCATCAATCACCGATAAGGTACAATTAGGTATAAATTAGTAGATGTGCAGGACAAGTTATTCAATTTAAGTAACCTAGTCGAGCCCTAGTTATATTTATCTCGATTCTCGATCAACTAAATTTTAATTACTTATCATTTTTATCCATATATAAGTATAAGCTGTAGACGAGTTTTCACTTTTTAATGGTTTTAATATTATAATTTATTTATAATAGGTTATTTATGATCATAAGTACCTGCTGTAGTACGACTTGTCCACGGCGTAGGTCGTCATCATGGCGTCCGGAGGTACGGGGTCGTTGGTGCCGCTGTGCTGGTCGGCCACATAGTTGATCAACATGTCCAGGTCGATGAATTCCTCGGCCCCGTAGACTACAGAGTCCGGCGGTGGTTGCTGATGCTGATGGTGATGCGCTTCGTCGAGAGGATGGTTGCCGACTTCGGGTGCCATCGGGTCGTATCGCCTGTGGCTGTCCGCTGACGGGGCCAACCCGAGGACAGTGCCCGAACCGCACATGTATACCGGCGATGCCTGTGGGCCCGTCGGGTTGCCCATCCAGGAGATGGTATCCTGCCACACTTGCCAGTCATCCTGCGAAAAAAAAATAGAACGGAAATTAGTTCGGTGACGGGTTGGGAGGTGGCACACTTAATATAATAAAATTTGGGTAAGTTATCCTAGGAATGAAAAAATTGAGAGAGACATACTATGGATATAGACACAAAATACACACTTATATGCGGATAAATTAAACACTCTACAAATTCAAAGAGCCAAGGGGCGCCGATTCCATAATTGTTGGAATCGCGTACCTAACGGTTTTAATATCGACCTTAATATGACTTAAGTAGGCATTTCTCTTATTAAATTATAATAATGAATAAACGTACCTATAATCTGTATGTCATGCTATTTATAACTATCCTGATATATAAAATTATTGATCGAGACCTCATTTCATGTAATCATGTATCTGATATAAATGATTACAAACGACACAAATCGATCAACAAAATATATATTTAAATTAAAGAGTAGGTACGGATTTTTTTTTATAATACATACATAACATACATCACACGACATGGGTTTTATGATGCATAATTTTCAATCGTTTTTTTTAAACTTACGGATTTTAGTGAGCTCACATCTTATGCGTATTTTTATTTATAAGTTGAAATACTATTGTGAATACAACCCGAAAAATACTCACCGCACGATTTGAATATATTATATATTATTATGCGTAGGAGTACCAACACAGCACACATCAAGCACTATAATAATATAATAGATGGGAGTCTGAAATTATGCATAAACGATTAGGATTTTGGCACACTCGTGGTGTGAAAGTTTGTTTTTTCTTTCGACATAATATGGTTCGTTTATACATTTTGTTCGAATCTGAGCATGATAACTTATTATAATACGTATTCTATAAATTGGACAGTGTGTCTTAATACTCGAGAACGCCGGCCCTGAATATAAATCGTACGAGTATGAAATATCTTAAAGAAATTATTGTTTATTAAAATAGAGTCGAAACTAGTTATTACAGATATTCAATTTAGTACTACTAACCCGCTCCGAAATGATTAGCATAATTGGCGAACAATGTATTAAGTATAGTAAATCGCGACTGTGTGGTAATAAGTACAATTTTAAAAACGCGACGGGAAACCTCGGTTTAAATCTATATAATTTTATACTGTAAATACTATAGGTAGGTACCTGCTGTAATTCTGTTGGTGCCTATTTATTATTTTAGTTTTCAAACGTATACCTATCCAGGAAATTCGTGTCAATTATCATTATACACGCTGCACTGTTACAGTATAGCAGTTAAAATATATTACATGGTTTGTAATAATTATGAAATAATAAATATAACTTATTAAGTGTCGAGAAATATTCGACGTATGGGAGTCATGTTTGATTGGGCTGCTCGTGAACGTATAGCGAAACGCAGAAACTAATTGAATAATTTATAGTCAAACATCAAATTAGAATATTTTATTATATTTTACTTTACCGACAGTTTAATTACCTACTTATTTTATTTATATTTCAGTCAATTACATACCTAGCTAATTTATTAGGATGCATGGTTACAATCCATCACACAATCCATCGATACGGTGGGTACTCTGCATATAGTATTATATATTAATATAAATATTATAAATTTAATTTAAACGATACTATACTCTTTTTAATGCATTTCTAATGAAATCATAAGAAACCGTTGATTTTGTTTTTTAAGATAACAATCTTGTGATACAGCTGTTTGATACCTACAATCTATTGATGGTTAATGGTTATGATATAATATAATATTTATTAATATTTAATATAGTATAATATTTCAATAGTATAATATTATTCATCTTTACCTATTAAATTATACTAAATATTTAAGCGGCAGTTTTTATTATCAAACATTTATTATGAATATTTTATTTATTTTAAACCATACACTGGCACTGGTTTATTACACCGACGATAGGTACTGACGGAAAATAATGTTTTCTTAATTTTCATGATCGAACAAAATTTCAACGTGCATGTAGAAAACTTGAAACTTTCATAAGCTTTATATTCAAAAACAGGGGGACCAATTTAACTAAAACTTAAGAGTTAAGTTCACTAGGAATCCGTTGCTAAATGGCTTAATGCTAGTTGGGATCCACTGCTATAGGTAGTCTATGGGTACCTACGTCTATTAGTCCTTATAATATTAGGTACCTATATAATATAATGACAGAATGGGTATTATGGGTGTTTGCCCCCTCTGTTCGTATAATAGCATACAGATATTTTTAAATTTTTATGCGTGTGTATACCTACCTACCGCAAACGTGGTCGGCTTGACTTGGAATTCCGCCGACAGCGGATCGAGATTAAAAGTCGATAGGTATACGATAGCAATGTTTTTTTGACCAGCATCCGACCATCGTTTTATTATAAATTTATTTTTTTTTTCAAATACGATGTACCGTGCGAGTTCGTTTGATTCATGTTATTGATTCGTGAAATTCATGAAATTTGAATACACGGTAACTAACGCGTTTAAAAACGGATAAGATCGCGACGGCTGATGTTTAAAATTATAATTTTGTTATCTACCTATAACAAGGGGTTATTATGTTTGCGTTTAGATGATTGGATATTATTTCGTGTATATTATATACATAACTCGTCTACGCCACGCTCGTCTTGCTGCCGCACACCGTGAAAAATACGTTTAGGTATAAATGTATAATTATATATTTTTATTATTAGGTATAATATGATTTAAATGGCCAATTAATAAATGTCCGATTCGCATAGCTGACCCACGAATTCCAAACTAATAAGGACACGAACTAACAACTATTTTCCTCCACCGAGGTACGACCGTCTGTGTAATAACAATAATACTACTTATTAGGTACCTATATTATATTATATAACCCATTAAGTCATATATATCCCAAGCAAATGTGCAGTTTATTTCCACACAGTGGTGCACTGGCGCTACGAATAAAACAAAACTAGGACACATTTTATCGGCGATATTTTTTAGCTACATTTTCTCTTAAAAACAATAAATGTTCCAAATACCTAAGCATGTTGCCGAAAATTTCAAATAAAGTAAATTGATATTTTAGTGAACATTTTTGATTGGTATCTATTTGGACCCCTTTATATATCGCATCTTTTAACAAGTAAATAATTGGATATTTATTTATTACTTATGGTAATAAATAGTGCTCTGCACCTATACATGCTTTCCTATACATATTGTTTAATATTGTAATATATCTTATAAATTTACACACATTTCATAATTCTAAACATGGGAACAATATCGATTTTAGTATTTGAGGAACTAGGAAATCGCACTTCTGTGAATCTTTTATAAATGGAGAAATTCTTATTTACCAGATAAATTAATAATTATAAATTGGAACGAAAATCGTGATGTCACGTTGAACGAAAAACGTTATGAGTAATGTGATCAGATGTCCCCCTAAAATATGTTGTGATCAAATCGAAACTGAAGTTAATGCATAGGCGCATAGCTATAAGTTATTAGTGAATCTAGATCAAAATATATTGTATCAAAATATCTAATCTTCTAATATATAGTAAGATTTTTCTTAATTTGTATCCAGGATAAAAAACCAACGGGAAGAACAAAAATATATTTCATTATAATGTTAATTAATATATCATAATAATTTAAACGTATTCCATAATAGGTTACTCAAAATAAATAAGACGAACTGAATTTAAATTAATAAAAACTTTTTCAACGCACTACTGCAATAGTCACCTATAAGCTAATTGTTACAAATTAGTAATTATTAATTACAATCAATACGTATCGCTTCTACATGGATCATGAATATTAGATAATAATAATTAATAACAGTATATCAACGTAAAGCATAACATTTATAAAATTGTCAGCTTAAACAGACTTATTATATCTAGTACGGTATATAGTTTCAAATATCAACCCCGTAAGCGTAAACCACAGATAACCAAACATATTATATTGTTCATCCCTTGTGCATTTTAAATACTCAAAATATTTTTTCTATTTATTAATTATTTTATTAAAAATGACACGCAATAGGTATATTATTATTTCAAATATATAATTATTTGCTCTTGAGCAATAATTAAAAAATTTAATAACGTAATTAATTTTAGATTAGATAAGAATGTATAATAATATTGTTATTCTTTTTTAAACAGACTTTTTTCAATTTTATTTAATTCTGATTTTTTTCCTATCCGATATTTTCAACCTTGCGTTGTATTTATTTGGATATTTAAACATAGGACATTTTCCCCCAATTCTGTAATAAGTAGGTATTACATTGTACTTGGCCATGATTATCATAATATGTAATACAATTAAAAAAAAATTTTATTTTTATCTACATTTTTCCCCTACATTCAGATTATTACCCACCTCGGATGACTTTTCAAATGTTTTTATTACTTATGCAGGATTTTTATCAGGTCACATTAGTTTAAACTGTAATAATAGATGGAACAGTTTTGAATTACAAATTGTATTTCTATATTTATGTATATTAATAACCATTGATAATAACAGTTAAGGTTACAGTCATACACTAGATCATACAGCATTGAGTCACAACAATTATAATACAATGTGCAATGTTTTTATTGAACTGCAATGCACATAAATTACAACAACTTATAAGTTCAAAGAAAATATATCGACGCATGTATAAAATATGTGTTGCCTATCTAAGTACCTACTGGCTACTACTTTATAATATTTGTATAATTATTTGCTTTGCTCAAGACTTAGTTTTGAGGCGCATACCTTGAATTAATATTAATATAAATGTTTTCTCCTACCTAAAATATTCTATAATAATATACTGGTGGCCCACAAAATAGAGATAATTTTAAATGAGCTCATTAGTTAACTTTTGAGTTAGAACAAATATTTTAATAACAATTTTCATGTTTTACTAGCCAGTTCATGAAACCACCTAGCCCCCTTCCCTCCCAAATTGTACAACACG